GAGGAATAGCAGCTCCTTCTATATTAAATAAGGCCTCTGTCTGGGTGCCTGTTTGTCTTATGTGAACCTGCCTGTCCATGTGTCAGCCTCAAATTCAGCATTACATTTGTCTCATGCGCTTAATTTTAAAAGTACAGTTAAAAGATATTTATGATATGTGCTTTTTTTAGTAAATACTTTAGTCATTGACTTGGATTTCTGGTTCAAGATTACTTTCAACAGATTAGCATATTCATTCATTTATTTGTCCATTTTGCCCAGCACATAACTGGAGTTTAATAAAAGGTTATTGAATGAACAAATGCTAACTTCCACTGTCCAAAAAGAAGAGTTTGAAAGAGAATAACTTCACAAGTTTATTTTGAGGAAGACATTTATACACTCTTAGATCCTTTTTAAAGACCCTAAATTCTAAAGTGTGCCTGAAAATTATCATAAATACCTTTCTCTTGGACCCAGGAGAAATTTTTAAAAAGCTTTTATTTTCTCTGCATTAAAACAATTATACAAAACAGCTATAAAACAATTATATAAAATCATTTTAGTTCCTAGAGTTGGGAACATGTTTTTTTAATATTAAAAATTTATTTTGTGTTTGTCTTAATGTTCTTTTTGAAATATTTTATTGGTAAATATAGCATGTATAGGATATTTCATAAAATATCAACATTGTTTAATAATTATAAAGTGAGCACCCACGTAACCACAATAAAGATCAAGAAACTGAATATTACCAATACCCCCTAATCTCTCCCTTTGTTCCTTCTAATCATAATACCCTCCTTCTTTTCTAGAGAAAATCACTATCTTAATTTTTGTGATAATAATTTTCTTCCTTTTTATTTTTTATTATTTATTTATTTTAGAGAGTCAAGGGAGGGAGATAGATAGAGAGAGAGAAACATTAATGTGCAGTTGCTGGGAGTCATGGCCTGCAACCCAGGCATGTACCCTGGCTGGGAATCGAATCTGCGACACTTTGGTTCGCAGCCCGCGCTCATTCCACTGAGCTACACCAGCCAGGGCATTTTCTTGCTTTTTAAAAATAGTTTTACCATTATGTACACATCTCTAAAAAATATAGTTATTTTACTTATTTTAAAAATCTGTGTAGATGGAATCATACTATATAAATTCTTTGTGTCTTGCTTCTATTATTCAGTATTGTTTCTTAGAGTCATCCAGGTTGTTGCATGTAACTGTAGTTTTCTGATTTTTATTGCTGTATGTGTAAATATACCAAACTTTACCACTGTAGTGATGATTAGCATATGTATTATTTTCAGTTTGGGGTAACTGTGAACAAAACTATTATGAATAGTCTTTTCATTGCAATGATCTGACTTTGTTCATGTACCTAATGCATGTTATCATTCACAGGTTATGTGATTGCGAACACAAAATATCCAAAAGGATCTACAGATAAATTATTATAATTATTAAAAGTTGCAGCAAGGTTGTTAAATACAAAATCAGTGTGTACATATATATATATATATCCTGGCTGGTGTAGCTCAGTGGATTGAGTGTGGGCTGCAAACCAAAGTACCGCAGGTTCAATTCCCAGCCAGGGCACATGCCAGGGTTGCAGGCCACAGCCCCCAGCAACCACACATTCATGTTTCTCTCTCTCTCTCTCTCGTTCTCCCTCCCTTCCCTCTCCAAAAATAAATAAATAAATAAATAAATATTTCCCAAAAAATCAATGTATATAAATCTATTACATTTCTAGGCATTAGCAACAAAATAAAAATGAAATTTAAAAAGATGTCATGTAGAAACTCCAGCCAAATGGAGGCATAGGCACTTCACTTCTTTGCACAACCAAAAGAATAACAACCAACTTAAAAACAAAAACCAACCAAAACTGCCAGAAAATCAAACTGTATGAAAGTCTGACAACTAAAGAGTTAAAGAAACATTCTTCCAGACTGGTAGGAGAGGCAGAGACAGGAACTCCAGACTAAGAGGCTGCATGACCAGATGGCAGCTGGCAGACTGGGACAGTGAGGTGGTGGCTGGCAAACTGTACAGTCCCACATTTGCATGGGGATTAGTCAGGAGGAACAACTAGGGAATGAGACAAACTGTGGAACCCAGGGTTCCAGCACTGGGAAATAGAGCCTCAAAACCTCTGCTTGTGAAAACCAGTGGGAGTTATAGGGGCAGGAGAAACTCCCAGCCTCCCAGGAGAGTTTAGAGAGGCCCATGAGACCCTAGAATGTACACAAGCCCACCCACCCAGGAATCAGCATCTGAAAGCGTACAGTCCGATTGTGGGAAGCAAGGGAAGTGACAGAAAGTGGGGCAAGAGCTGAGCAAGCTAGCAAGCTGCATTGTTCCCTCTCTGACCCCTCCCCACATACAGCACCACAACATAGCAATGTGGGTTGCCCCATTCTTACAACATAACAGGTGCACAGAGACAAAGAAATATGGCCCAAATGAAAGAACAGATCAAAACTCCAGAAAAAGGACTAAGTTATGAAGAGATAACCAACCTATCAGATGCAGAGTTCAAAACACTGGTAATCAGGATGCTCACAGAAATGATTGAGTATGGATACAAAATGGAGGAAGAGGTGAAAGCTATCCATAGTGAAATGAAGGAAAATATACTGGGAATGAACAGTGAAGGGACAGAAACAAGGACTCAAATCAATGATCTGGAGCAGAAGGAAGAATAAACATTCAACCAGAACAGAATGAAGAAACAAGAATTCAAAATAATGAGGAAAGGCTCAGGAACCTCTGGGACAACTTTAAACATTCTGACATCCGAATAGTAGGGGTGCCAAAAGAAGAGGAAGAGCAAGAAATTAAAAACTTATTGGAAAAAATAATGAAGGAAAACTTCCCCAATCTGACAAAGGAAAGAGACTCCCAGGAAGTCCAGGAAGCTCAGAGAGTCCCAAAGAAGTTGGACACAAGGAAGCAAACACCAAGGCACACCATAATTACATTACCCAAGATTAAAAATAAGGAGAGAATCTTAAAAGCAGCAAGAGAAAATGAGAGTTACCTACAAAGGAGTTCCCATAATACTATGAGCTATTTCTCCAAAGAAACCTTACAGGTAAGAAGGGGCTGGAAAGAAGTATTCAAAGTCATGAAAGGCAAGGACCCCTACACCCAAGTTTAGTCTATCCAGCAAAGCTTTCATTTAGAATGGAAGGGCAGATAAAGTGCTTCCCAGATAAGGTAAAGTTAAAGGAGCTCGCCATCACCAAGCCCTCATTATCTGAAATGTTAAAGGGACTTATCTAAGAAATAGAAGAGGATCAAAAACTATGAACAATAAGATGACAATAAACACAACTATCAACAACTGAACGTCAGAAACAAAAACTAAGCAAACAACTAGAACAGGAACAGAATCACCGAAATGGAGATCACATGTAGGGCTATCATGGGGAGTGGGAGTGGAAGAATGGGGGAAAAAGGTACAGGGAATAAGAAGTATAATTGGTAGTCACAAAAGAGACAGGGGTAAGTTAAGAATAGTATAGGAAATGGATAAGCCAAAGGACTTATATGTATAGTCCATGGACATGAACTAAGAGGGGTGGGGAATGCTGGAGGAAGGGGGTGCAAGGAGGAGGAATAAAGGGAGAAAAATAGGACAACTGTAATAGTATAATCAATAAAATATACTTAAAAATAAAATAAAAATAAAAAGATTAAAAGATGTCATGTAATTAATATTAAAATTAGCAAATCTCTAAGAATAAAATTTAATAAAGTGTGAGGACACCTTTTGAGAAAGATAAAACTAAATTATTTTATATTTTCTATGTATATAATCATATCATCTCAATGAGTTTTATTTCATAATTCTTTTTATATATCACTCTTTTCAACTTATATTTTGTTTAGGATTTTCACATTTAAGTTCATGGATGAGATTATCCTATAATTTTTTTCTTATAATACTCTTATCTGATTTTTATATCAAAGGTTATGCTAACCTAGTAAAATTAATTGAGCAATGTTCCCTCTCCTATTCTCTGAAAGAAGTTGAGATTGAAATTCTTGGTCTTTGAGAGTTTGATGGAACTCATCAGAGGAATCATCTGACCCTGTCTTTTACTTTGTGGGAAGATATTTGACTACCAATTGTTTATTCAGTGGTTATAGAATATTTAGATTTTTGAATCTTCTTTTTGATTTAGTATTAGATATATAGATATATTTTTCTAGGAATTTGACCAATAAAGCTGAAGGCCAAAGCATGAAAGGTCTTGAATAGGTCTTGAAGGGGAAAACATGGTCATATTTTCATTTTTAAGAATTACTAGGTACCCCAAAAAATGTGCTAAGCTCTAATAAAGCTGGCAAAACAGGTGCTCCATCTTTGGGAAACTCACAATATAGTGGGAGAGGCAGTCATAGAAACAAATCACTATACAGCACAATAAATGCTAATAAAGTTTATGAGAGGAGATAGCTTACCCTGGGGCTGAAATTTGAGTTTTGTGTAACTTTTCTGATAGTTCTATCAGAATCTGTAAGCATTCTCAGTCTTATATTACAGGTACATATCAGATCCCTTGAGAGCTATTAAGATGGGATAGACTTCCAAAACATTCATCATTTTTAGATGTATAAATTAGTAGTTTTTCCTGCATTCACAAATGTTGGCATTCATTACATTCTATAATGCCAGATTGTTTTCATCCCCCTAAAAGAAAGACTTCATCCATTAGCAGTCATTCTTCATTTCCCTCTTCCCTCAACCTCTCACAACCATTAATTTACTTTCTGTCTGGTGGATTTGTCTGTTCTGGACATTGAACATAAATGGAATCATACACTTTTTAAAAAGGTGGGATAGCCTGCATTGGGGAGCTTGTGTTAGTACCTGGTGACTCCTTTCTAGACTTTCTGTTTCAATAGAGCATATAACTCAGTTTTACAAACACCATTGATTTCTCTTTCCTCCCTACAGGTGTGGAGAATATCCAGGTAGTGGCTGCAGTTCCACCTCTGGTCTGGCTACCATGTATCATGGGCGAATTACTGGTAAAGGGCCCCTGACTCCAGTGCAGATTTATCAGCAACCTCCGAGGCTTCTCATTGTGCATATTCCTCTACCATCCTGGGCTGACATCTGCTCCAACCTCTGTGAGGCTCTGCAGAACTTTTTCTCTGTAGCCTGCAGCTTAATGGGCCCCAGCCGAATGTCCCTCTTCAGTTTATACATGGTACAAAATCAGCATGAGTGCATCCTTCCATTTGTGGTAAGTATATTTATATTTGTTCATTTTTTTGCTCCAGAGACCTCATATCACAGCTATTATTACTTATAGCAATAATTATTCCTGTTCCCATACCCAATACCCCACAAGCAACACAGTGACAGCCAGATGTCATCCTGCACATAAGGGAAACCCCAAAATTATTAATATGGAAGTTAGCCCATGTATTTCCCCCTCCTGAGAGAAACCTTGGCATTTGCAGACCTCTGGAATATAAACAACTGACTCCTTTTGCACACACCCCTTTAAAATGCAAGCACAGGGAAACGAGTCTCTAAATTTCTGCAGAAGTCTCTGGCTATTCAAGTGAATAGCCAAGACTTGTCCTTTAACCCAGGTTCCAGATTTCTTTGCTCAGATAGCCCTAACTATGCAGAAACATGAAAATACATTCTTTACAGTTTCACACAGAAGGCAAAGGCTGGGCCAGGGGCAGTGCTTTTACAACACTCCCTCCCACATTGACAACTAACTCTCCTTCCTCTCAGACAAACCCAAATCATCACTTTATCCCCTATACAAAGTTTAGAATCACAGGGACCAGAAAGACTTCAGAGATTCTCATGCATCTCTTTCCTGAGACAGCGTACTGCTGGGATAATCAGAGAAGGCCTGCTGGAGATCCAGGACTTTCATTTTCACCTGGTGGAAACAAGACCTCCTTCCTCTAGTATCCAGGGAATTCATGTGAGAGCCTGGACTCCCACCCTCCTACCCAACATTAACAAGTTATCTCTTCCCCTGAGGTACTGTAGGAGGAGGCAGAGTGAAGGCCTTGTGGGGAGCACTAGTGAGGCACCTTTTTACTTCTAAGGCAGGGTGGTGTCAATAAAGGCCTACTAGAAAGGCAGGGCTTTTATGCCCACCTGACCATAATGAAGCTTCCCTATCCCCAGAGTGCCAGTTGGGGCCATGTGGAGAGACTAAACTCCCACCCCTACCCAGAAGTAATAAGGCACCCTCCCTTCTGGGTTGTAAAGAGAGATCAAGTAGGGTCACACCCCACCTGGCAATAACACTCTGGAAACCTCACTTTCCCCATTTGACACAGCATCAGAGGAAGGCTGCTAAAGCAGAAGATTTAAACAAGATGCAGTTTTATAACACCCCAAATGTCCAGAAAATAATTTTAAAAATCACTCATCTTATCAAAAACCAGTAAAATCTCAACTTGAATGAGAGCATAGCATACACCAGTCCTGAAATGACATGGATGTTAGAGTTATAAAAAAAAAAATTTAAAGCAACTATCATAAATGCTTTAACAAGCAGTTATCGACATTGATTGATGGTTTCTCTCTCACATCAATGTTTCTTTTCCTTTCTTTCTCCCTCCCTTTCCCTCTCTCTAAGAATAAATAAAATCTTTTTTAAAGAAATATATCCAACTCATTTTTTATTAAGATGCAAAAGCAGTCCAATGTAAAAAGGAGAGCCTTTTCAATAAATGGTGCTGGAGCAGTGGGACAGCCATGGAAAAAATAAACCTCAACCTAAGCCTCTTATTTAAAAATTAGCTCAAAATAGATCATAGTTTTCCATGTAAAACTAAAAGTTTTAGAAGAAAATATAAGAGAAAAGTTTCAGGACCTAGATATGACACCAAAGGCATAATCCATAAAAGAAAAAATTGACAAATTGAACTTCATCAAAATTAAAAACCTTTGCTATGTAAAAGACCTTGTCAAGAGGATAAAATGACAAGCTCCAGACTGGAAGAAAATATTTCCAAACCACAGATTTAACACACACACACACACACACACACACACAAATATAATTCAAAAGTGAGCAAAACACATGAAAAGAAATTTCACTGAATAGGATATACAGATGGCAAATGAGCACATGAGAGGTATCCAATATCACTGGCCATTAGGCAAATGCAAATTAAATGCATGATGAGATAGCACTACACACCTAATAAAACAGCTAAAATATAAAATAGTAAGAATACCAAATGCCGGCAAGGATGCAGAGAAACTGGATCTCTCATACATTGATGCTGGGAATGTGAACTGGCACAGCTATTTGGGAAAACAGTTTGTAATATTCTTAAAAATCTAAACATATACTTACTACATGACACAGCAATTGCACTTTGGGACATTTATCCCAGAGAGATTAAAATTTACATCTACACAAAAACACATAGTTAAATATTAACAATAGCTTTATTTGTAACAGCCAAAAACTTGAAACAACCTAAATGTCCCTTAATAGGTCAATGATTAAGCAAATTAGTATATCGATACCATAGAATACTACTCAACAATAAAAAGAAATGAACTATTGACACATACCACTTGGTAGAACCTCAAGAGCATTATCCTGAGTGGGGAAAAAAGCCAATCTCATATGGTCATGCACATCAATTCTATTTATATAACACTCCCAGAATGACAAAATTATAAAGATGGAGAACAGATCAATGGTTGCCAAGGGCTGGGGATGGTAAGGACTAATAGCATAGCACGAGGAAGAGCTTCTCAGTGATGTGATAATATGAAGCTATGCACACATTATACCAAGGTTTTGAAATTGTGCTCTAGTTATACAAGATGTAACCACTGGGAAAAGATGGGTAAAGTTCTCTATGAATAATTTTTGCTGTTTTATTTAAATCTATAGTTATTTCAAAATAAAAAGTTAAAGAAAAACAAAGGTGACTTTACACACTCACTAGAATGGCTTCAATTAAAAAGATAGACAATACTGACAGGCAATACCAAGTGTTGGTGAGAATGAGGAGAACCTATAACCCTAATTCATTGCTGATGGGAAGGTTAAATGATACAACCACTTTGGGAAATAGTTTGTCAATTTCTTAAAAAGCTAAATACATACTTTCTATATAACCCAACAATTCCACCCCCAAGAATCTACCTGACAGAAATGAAAACATGCATTCACACAAATAAATGTACATGAATATTCATGGCAGCATTATTAATAATAGCCCCAAACTGGAAACAACCAGAGTATCTATTAACTGGTGAATGGGTGAACAAAATGTATAACTGTCACTGTACATTATTCACAGATTATCTATTGTATGAGTATAGTGAAGACAGAGTGAAAGTGACACTGATGCTTATAATCATCTGGCAGATATATTCCTCTATTGTGCCATTTTTCTTGCACATGTCTGTCCCATGACCACATTTGGTTGTGATATCTGTCTTCTGTCAGGCAATAGGGGTAGGGAGAAGTAGAGAGTGATATGGAAGGACAAATGGAAGATAGCCAGCATAAAGAGGCTCTTTGAGAAATGAGTTCATTTTCCAAAGAAAGGTAAAAGGATTTTTTCCCCTCTTCAAGTGACTATGTTATATGCATCTGGCACTCCTCAGTACATCTGGCCCCTGATGAATCCCTTGACCCCTTAATTACTCTAGTAGGAGAGGCAGACCATTCTAGACTAAAAGCTTCTGACTGGTATCTCAGGAAAAATTGCAAGCCAAAAAAAATTTTTTTCTAAAAGAACAGTGAGTTCAAACCTGATTAAAACCCAAGAAAATCACTAGAACAATGCTACTACCTTACATATAGAATAATCAAATCTTTGAGGGAAAATGTTATTTTAAATCCACTGTCTCTGGCCTATATAAGTGTCTGACATTTTCTGTCTTCAGATTTAGCTCAAAATATAAATGGAGAAAAATAGCAGGTAAGAAAATTGCCCAAAATGAACACCTCAATATAACTTTCATATTTAATTTCTGAGTATAATCAAATAATCCTGAACTTTTAATAAGGAATCATAATTAAAATATTAGAATTCCTTTTATATCCCTTGTGACCTTAATATAAATAAATCTGACCAAAGTGATTAACCTCCTCTCAAAGCAGTTTCAGAACGATTCCCTTATTATGAGGAGTTTATCAATTTTTTTAATTGTTAATTTTTTGAATTATAGTTTACATTCAATATTATTTTTTATTAGTTTCAGGTATACAGCATAGTGGTTGGATAATCATATACTTTGCATAATGTTCCCCCCAGTATTTCCAGTACCACCTGGCAACATACATAGTTAACTTACCAATTCTTCTATCTTTGAATGAGAATGGAGACGTTATTTAAATCATATATGATCTACAATGTGATTTTAGGACTAATAGTGCTCTAATTTGGCTATCTTGTGGTCCAAGTTAGCCATTCTTAGGGCTATATTCCAGCAAGCAGAAAAGGAAAAAGAGAGAATGAAACTCGCGCATCCTTTTTAAAAACTCATCAAAAGTTGCTCCCATCAGCCCTGGTAGGTGGCTCAATTGGATGGATCATCCTCCTGTACAACAAAAGGTTGCAGGTTAGCTTCCCAGTCAGGGAGTGTAGGGGAGGCAACGAGGTGATGTTTCTCTCTCACATCGGTCTTTCTTTCTTTCTTTCTTTCTTTCTTTCTTTCTTTCTTTCTTTCTTTCTTTCTTTCTTTCTTTCTTTCTTTCTTTCTCTTTCTTTCTTTCTTTCTTTCTTTCATCTCTATCTCTGTCTCTCCCTTCCTCTCTCTCTAAAAATCAGTGAATATATGCTCAGATGAGGATTTTTTAAAAGTTGCTCCCATCACTTGGTTTACCATCATCCCACTGGCCAGAACTTAATCACACTGAAACTCCTAGGTGTATGAAAGAGACTTGGAAATACAGTCATTCCAGCTAGTCAGAGGGCCCATGTAAAAATTGATAGTTTTGGTACCTAGAGGAAAAGCGTAAGTATTGAAGGACAACTAGAAATCTCTGCCACCACAGTATAACCCCACAAGAAAAAAATAATGAGAGAAAAAAATCACAACAAAATTTTGAAAGCTATATACAAGTGAACAAGTGATAATTGAGTTAGCAGTTCCAAGAATGCTAAATCTTAAAACGGTAGAGGGGAAAGCCAAGGAATAAAGCAAATTATACCACCAAGTCCTCAAAAGGCTTTGGAGTTGGCAAGAGCAAGTACTTCTGGAGGAAAGAATGAAGGTTTAACTAAAAGT